GCATCTTATGTCTTCCTCGTCAGCTTCAGATGCATCGGTTATTTGGTAACCGTTCGTCGTCAATTGCTTTAGATGACAAGGGGATTCACCTTAGGAACGGTCTAGATCATAAGGGAAAAAGTGAAAAATCAACAATGTGACGAGAAGCTTCAAGAACTCATGAATCCGACCGACTGAAGATAGCTTATGTCTTCCTCGTCAATTTGAAACTCGAGGAGATCAAATTGGAGAACCTCGTTCTGCTGAGAACTTATGTCTTCCTCGTCAGCTTCAGATGCATCGGTTATTTGGTAACCGTTCGTCGTCAATTACTTTAGATGACCGCTTATGCAATTGATCGCCTCATTCCTTCCGAGCCATCTGATTATTTTGAGATTTGTGTTGGTACATTTTTTGTCACATTGACCGAATGAGTTTACCTGATTTCTGAGCATCTCCAGTCCTTGATGGCTTGATTTACTTGAGAAAATAATTCTACAAGCCCATGAAAAAATAAATTTACAGTCACAAAGCTCACATAAATTACTTTACATTTTAGCAACTAATTACTTAAATTCTTAATTAGATTTGTGATAATTTCTATTTTTACCATTTTTTTATAAATGTAATTTGACTCCTTTGCAAAAGATTCAAACTTTAGTTATTGTTCATAATGCAAGCATACCATAGAAAATTATTGAGTTTGGTGCAACGTATGTTCTGCTTTCCCTTTTGAAGAAGAAGAATGCAGAACTAAAGCTTGTCCTTTTTCTTCCTTGAATACTATGCATAGAAATTTAAAATATCATCATGAAGCTGTATGCTTTATCACTTACGGTTAATGCATGACGCGCAAAATACATAACATGCTTCAAATATTATATGATTTTAAAAAGTTCTCATTATATCGTCGATTGCAGAACTAAATGGAGAAAATTTTATGTCTGGACTTTTGGACATAAAAGTGGCAGTATGGATCTCATTATATCGTCGATTGCACAACATGGTGCGATCTACGTCATCACCCGCACATACGAATAGCCAGATGTATTATTTTCTCCTATAATAGAATAGTAAGTGGGAGCAATTAAAGGTTTTCAAGTTGAATCATTCTTGTGACATGCAAAATGATATCGCTGTACTAATCAGACGTATTTTTAGAATTTTGGATCACATTTTACATTATGTTGAAAAATTTATTGAATCAAACCCATTTAACTCATCCTGGCATATATAATTTTCAAAATTATTTAATGTCTTTTGCACATTTTGATGCATTGTGAACGTACATCATTGGATATACATATACATACATATATATATACATATACATATAT